TCTCCATTAGAAGCACATCTCTAATAGAATTACATGTACTGTATTTACTCTATTAGAAGCACATCTTCAATAAAATTATCAGTACATGTACTGTATTTACTCTATTAGAAGCACATCTCCAATAGAATTACCAGTACATGTACTGTATTTACTCTATTAGAAGCACATCTTCAATAGAATTACCAGTACACGTACTGTATTTACTCTATTAGAAGCACATCTCCAATAGAATTACCAGTACTGTATTTACTCTATTAGAAGCACATCTCCAATAGAATTACCAGTACATGTACTGTATTTTATTTACTCTATTAGAAGCACATCTCCAATAGAATTACATGTACTGTATTTACTCTATTAGAAGCACATCTCCAATAGAATTACCGGTACATGTACTGTATTTACTTTATAAGAACCACATCTCCAATAGAATTACATGTACTGTATTTACTCTATTAGAAGCACATCTCCATTAGAATTAATGTACTGTATTTACACTATTAGAAATATATCTTCAACAGAATTACATGTACTGTATTTACTCTATTAAAAGCACATCTCCATTAGAAGTACATAAACTGTATTTACGCTATTAGAAACATATCTTCAATAGAATTACATGTACTGTATTTACTCTATTAGAAGCACATCTCCATTAGAATTACATGTACTGTATTTCCTCTATTAGAAGCACATCTTCAATAGAATTACATGTACTGTATTTCCTCTATTAGAAGCACATCTCCAATAGAATTACATGTACTGTATTTACTCTATTAGAAGCACATGTCCAATAGAATTACATGTACTGTATTTACTCTATTAGAAGCACATCTCCAATAGAATTACATGTACTGTATTTACTCTATTAGAAGCACATCTCCATTAGAATTACATGTACTGTATTTCCTCTATTTGAAGCACATCTCCAATAGAATTACATGTACTGTATTTCCTCTATTAGAAGCACATCTCCATTAGAATTACATGTACTGTATTTCCTCTATTAGAAGCACATCTTCAATAGAAGTACATGTACTGAATTTACTCTATTAGAAACATATCTCCAATAGAATTACATGTACTGTATTTACTCTATTAGAAGGACATCTCCAAAAGTGCATGTACTGTATTTACTCCATTAGAAGCACATCTTCAATAAAATTAAATGTACTGTATTTACTCTATTAGAAGGACATCTCCAATAGAATTATATGTACTGTATTTGCTCTATTAGAAGCACATCTTTTGTGACCAAAACTTTGATGTAGCATTTTGCAAGTTTTCAGGTTTTTTACTTTTTTACTAGATTTCTTTGTCAATTTTGAACAAAGTGAAATAATTTCCTTTTGCAGGTCAAATTCAATGTTGACAAATTATGAAGGTTTATAACATTTACTTTAAATTGACAGAGATAGAGTAAAACACAATAGTTTATAGGCATATACATAAATTGCTTAACATACCATTCTATAGCTCTGTTTTCAAAGAGGTCTCTTCTGCCAATCTCTTCAGCCAAGACATCACTAGAGGGTACAGCTACCACTTGAGGGGCTGGCTGCTGAGGTGGGAATGGCGGCCCATGGTACACAGATGGGGATTCATCGTATCCAGGTAACGATATTCCTGTGCCGTCTATCATGTCGTCTTTTTCTTCTACCTGCAGGGAGGATATCAGTTAAACGTTAATTTGGGCAATAATAAAATAATGAAAATGTTAAGTAACATCATATACTATATGACTGCTCCTGAGAGACAAATTTCCCTTAATTGTGCCAGTTTTGGAGAAAGTTTGTCTTAACGAAAAACCTTTAATTATCGTAATCATGAACATTTCTAGTGCAAAAAATATAACGATGTATTACAGAATTTTTGATTTAGATTTTAACATGAATTTTTTGGCAAATATGACAGTGAAGTGAAATTAAAAATGAGTATAAATTTAGTTTTGGTTGTGTACTGCATTTTGATATGGTACAATCAAGAACACTGTTTGCTGCATTCATCTTGTTTGGCAAAATTACTGCAATTAAGGTAGAGACCACAACTGCTAAAAAAATTTATCACATTCTGCAAAACTTTAAAGTTCCATTTTCTACGAAAATAAACATTGAAAGCAGAGAATGTTTAACAAATGAAATATTTTGGGGCCAAAAATGTTGCTGAGAGACAATTCTGGCAGTGAATTGATCTTTTTTTCTCATTTTTATGTATTTTTTCAACAATTTCTAAATTTTAGACCAATTGGGCGTATTTTTTATTGGCTACAGGTATTGATCAACATTTTTGAAACAAATTAGACAAAATTATGCAGGTTTGTTTCGTGAAAGGTGACAAATTTTGATTTAATCAACAAAAGTTCATATTTTCAATTTTGATCAATCTCTCATGATATATTTGCATACCTCCCACCCCAGTTTATGAAATGTTAAATAAAGAAAAAAATAGAGGAAAAATGAATGAAAAACACACATTTTGCCTTCATATAGCAACGCATCAGGCTGTGGTTGCTACGTAAACAGGAACTAAAAGTAGACTTCCGGTAATAATGTCATCAGTAGGTTGATAAACAAATAAAGTATGATGCTAGTAACAGCCATCACCAACAATCACCAGCTCCTTGTTTATACCAGGCTTGAGAAGCATAAAAAGACCTTGTGTACCCCAAGAGCCTCAATTGTTGTGCAGGATATGTTTCATATCGCACATAAACAATTTGATGGTGCTAGTGTATTTAACATAACTGTGTTTGAAACACACCAACCAGTAAACTAGGTAAATTCACATGCATAGCCTACCTGGGATTGCTCATTTGCATAATTAGAAAAATTAACATCATCATAGTCTTTAATGAGGCATTCCTAGATCACACAGAGGAAAGCAGGCAGAATAGAAATAAATAGAGTAGCAAGAGTAAGAATGTTAGTTGCGCTAGAGGACACAGAAATGTAGCATCATGATACAGTGGTGATGTTTATGAGAAAAACCATTGTTTTCTTGTGCAAACAGGATGAAATTTATTTATGTCAAATTTATGCATGGCAAGTAGCTGATTTGCATACCAGTCATGTTTTATTCTTTTGTAGCCAGGATCAAATGTCAGGTTTATCCATTTGAGCTTATGGCGAGATAAATATAAGCCCCCTTTTTTTTAAACAAGAAACCACCTCTAAGGTCACGTAAGCACTGAAGAGCATGGCGGGTAGACAACACGGTGTCATCAGGGTGTTGAATATGCAATGTTAATAAGCCTCTATTAGATGCTAGATGTTAAAAGACCTTATCAAATTCTAGAATGCAGAGGGAATGCATGCAATAATAGTCTCAATATTATCTATGGTATTGAGAAATTGTGTTCTATTTGTAATATATTTTAGATTAAAATGGTTCTGAAATTATTTTGATCAGAATGTTGCTATGGTGATGTGAAATAGAATGATGTTTTTTTTTTTTAAACAGTAACAATATCAAATCTGTATATATAAATCATTGCCATAAATGTCTGATTCTTTGGGTTTAATTGTCAATTTACCTGTGCTTTTGGTGGTGAGACGCGGTCACTAGGTGCAGGTGTGGGCGGTGTAGAGTCTATGTCTACGCTAGGTAATACCTACATCAGAAAAATAGAAAAAAAAAGAACTTTAAAACAGCATGAAGTATATGAAGAGTGTTTAAGGGACGATGTCAAAAGATCAAAGTCGGATAAAAAACTGAATTCCTTTAATTGATAAATATTGATCATGGCGTCAGACTACATTCACCATTAAATACAAATTGATAATCGAACAGTAGTATGGAATAGCAGTTGGTTGTGGGTGGGTGTAAAAGTCTTTACAAATTCACCTCACTTGACGCAATATATACACTCGAACCAAAACATTTTCTCGTCTTGAATGTTGTTTTTTTTCCTTTTCGGTTATTTCTGTCCATGATTGGATAGAGAAAAAAACAAACTACAAATACTCCAAGATTTTTTTTACTTCATTAAAAAATAAAATTATTTTTGTAGGATGGAAACTTTTTGAGGTCAAAACCCCCACCCCCAAACTAAAGCAAATAAGTTTGTTATCCGACATCGATCTTTTGACGTCGTCCCTAAGTGTTTAGATAGAAATGTTCATCATCAACTTCTGTTTTCCTATAGACTCCAAAAAAATTTTCCTATATATAAACAATATATGTTTATGCACATGCCTCTGATTTATTGTTATTTATATATTTATTTATTTATATATTTATATATTTATATATTTATTTATTTATTTATTTATTTATTTATTTATTTATTTATTTATTTATTTATAATGTCATGCATTTATTTATTAATTTTATGAAGCCAGAATGAAGAATAACATGTACATAAATTATAACAACTGTGTGACTAATAAGAAGATATAAGCCGACACCCATCAATGAAAGATGAATGCTACTATGTTGCAGTTATCACCATAATTCAACACCCATCTATACTGTGTGCCAACAAAACAAGAGTGAAATAGAGTAGGAAATGTATCTGACACTTCTAATGTTCTAATACATACCTGGATGTCCAGCTGCGGTCGCCTTGGTTCTTCAGGTGCTTGCATCTCAACTATGGCAACATTGCTGACATCATGATCCCGAGCGGGTCTGGTGGTACTGATCACAACTGGCTGTGACAACCCGCTACCACTCCTGGGTTGTCCAAGGGATATAGCCATGGGTATCAACTGTCCAGGCATCGGAGGAACAGCTGTCCCTCTAGTTGGCAGGTGTTGGTATGGGTTGAAGTAGAACTCTGTTTTTTCTTTGATCAGTTTCGGTTTTTTGGGGGATGGAGTGGTTTGGGTTTTCGAAGATTTCATCTTCACCGCTATAAAATAAATTTAAAAAAAAATTTTCTCTAAATAAATAAAAAAATAAATTGCAATTCATAATACATTTGTAAAATATTAATTTTTGAAAATGGATCCATGATTGTTACAAAATCTGTAAAATCATAGTAAAGCACAAACCTTGTACTTCCTGTACAACTTTAGGTCTTGTGCCACCTGGTTTGACTGGCGTACTCTGGAATCGGAGATATGGTCCTGTTTTATCTGTTTTCCTCTTTGGGCCATACAATGCCTTTCCGTACACCCTGGATAGATACTGCTCATCTTGCATGTGACTTGTAGATTTCTGGGGCTTCTTCACCTGTGATGAAATTAACAAAAAAATCGAGATACAAAATGAGAATATGCTAAACTACATACACATAAAGTACATCTAAATGGCCTGTAATATTTTAGGAAATGTAATTTGAATATTAATGAGTAAACATCGTGAAAGCAACTGACCAATGAGCATGTGTTTTAGGAGAGGGCAGATAATCTGTTATTCTCTACAAGTAGAAGCATGTTGATTGGTGCATGTGCAAGCTACTGAATATTAATGAGTAAACATCATAAAAGCAACTGACCAATGAGCATGTGTTTTAGGAGAGGGCAGATAATCTGTTATTCTCTACAAGTAGAAGCATGTTGATTGGTGGATGTGCAAGCTACTGAATATTAATAAGTAAACATCATGAAAGCAACTGACCAATGAGCATGTGTTTTAGAAGAGGGCAGATAATCTGTTATTCTCTACAAGTAGAAGCACGTTGATTGGTGCATGTGTACTGAATACTATAGTGCAGGCATCTTTTATTTTAACTGCTTTATTTTTTGTTACATCATGTGCTACAAAGGAGGCCAGAACTTGTTGTAGATTTTGAGAAATTCTCATAGAAGGCATTGTAGTTTATGAAGATGGTATCCATGCATGTAAATGAGAGACAGTGAAATCCACATTTGTAGTTTATAAACACAACCACCTGGCACACTCACAGGAAGCTTTTGTGGTTTGTTCTCTTTACTGTCATCTTCCTCCTCTACTCTCTTTTTTCTCAACCCAGTGTTTATTTTGGCTTGAACTTTCTTCTTTCCAGGTTTTCCCTTTGTCTTGGCAGCTGAGGACTTGTCGGGTAGCTTGTCTTTTTGTGGTACAACCTGGATCTTATCATCCTTACCATACAGCATCTCATCCTGAAAGCAGAAAGTAAAAAGTAAAAAAAAAAAATTCATACTGCTGTCCACTATTACATATGGTGCATCATATATACTTTAAATTTAACATTATGTAGCATATTTGGATAGTTTTGTATCAGCTAGGGTAACTAAAATAACGTACAAGATCAAATGTTGACAATTATTTATTTAGCATTTTCATCTCCACAAGGGGAAAAAGAAATCATGTAAAAGAATCAAAATCATGTACTGTAAACACAGCCGACCTTACAGAAGCAAAAATGATACATGCTTCTAGACAATAAGAAAAGCACAGATGTTCAAATACATACAAACATACGAAATAAGAAAACAAAACTGCAAGGTGAAACGGGCATAAATTAGGGACTTTTAGTCATCTCATCATTATCGGCAACTGTAAAGGAGACTTTACCTGTATTTCATAATTCATCACATGTATCATTTTGTCTACTTTTGCTCTGATGTAAGCTTTCTCCGCAGCATCTCTGCAGACAGAAAGGATAGACTGTTAGAAGTGACATCCATCTATTACATGCAAGCCACAACCAAATTAGTTTACATCTTTACGCTTTAATATTAATGCTCTATGGGGTATTCATATAAAATATTTTAACCGTCACCAGTTTTTTTTTTTTTTGTGATTCATAAAATCCAACCTCCCTTTGATGGTAGTAAAGGAGGATGAGATATTAAGTAACCGATAATGCATAGTGATATTATGACATGCATTAATCCACTAGATATTGTATGCTGTAAGGAAAAGAGGGGACGTTTGTTTAATTGTGTGTCAGAGTGGCAAGACATTGTAAATGGGAAGCGATAGTAAATGAGTGATTGTTTATTTTTATTAAGTTTTATATTTTATTTAATCATACAATGACAGTGTCACTGTCGCTGTTCATAAGCTGAGTTGATTTAAATAAAAAAATAAACAGAGATTGAGTGCTCGTTCTAAAATGCTTCTCCAGCATGCAGCCTGACAACCATTGTTAATACTGCACACAACAAATTTTGTAATTCGGTATCATCTTGCAAAAATAAGCAGAAAAAGGTAAAATGCTCAATTCCATGTGACTGCTGACTTATTAACGTGTAACCGGTGACGGGAATCACATGTGGTTAAGATTTGGACGGACATCACAACAAATTCGGCTTGTTTATTTCTTAAAGGCAATGTGTGAAATCTGCGATCAGAAGAGATAACCAGTGCTGCACTTTGGCAACATTATTAGTTTAAGACCGGAGGCTGCCAGAGTATGTGTCAATGGAAACTATACATATCTGTTAATAATCCCTGATTAGAAAGCTATTTTATCTGATTACTTTAATCTTATAGGTAGAGATCGAGTGAAATTAATCCATGCCGAGACCGAATAGAAACTAGATACCCAAGTTCCCAAGAGAGGCAATCATGGTCCCTCCCACTGTATCTACATGTACCTATTTCTGTTGTTGAATTGAACATCAGTGTATAATTACTGTACTTCATTCTCGTCATTTTCCAAATGGTTTCTTCTTCTACAGTTAAAATTGGGTGGGGTGGGGGTGCCAGAGTTGAGTGATGAGATGGAGTGGAAGATATGAAAGAATAAGGTGGCTGGGTTGAGTAGAGGGGTGGATGGACAGCGTTATATGGAAAGGTGGATTAAGAAATCAGGGTGGTGTCCAGATTAGAGTGCAGTGTTCTGGAGAAGAGACAATATTAGAATATTGTGATGCGCTGGGTGGGGGGGTGCAGTGTTCTGGAAAAGAGACAATATTGTGATGCGCTGGTGGGGTGGGGTGGGGTGGGGTGGGGGTGGTGAAGTGTTCTGGAGAAGAGACAATATTAGAATATTGTGATGCGCTGGGTGGGGGGTGCAGTGTTCTGGAAAAGAGACAATATTAGAATATTATGATGCGCTGGGTGGGGGTGCAGTGTTCTGGAGAAGAGACAATATTAGAATATTGTGATGCGCTGGGTGGGGGGTGCAGTGTTCTGGAGAAGAGACAATATTAGAATATTGTGATGCGCTGGGTGGGGGGTGCAGTGTTCTGGAGAAGAGACAATATTAGAATATTGTGATGCGCTGGGTGGGGGGTGCAGTGTTATGGAGAAGAGACAATATTAGAATATTGTGATGCGCTGGGTGGGGGTGCAGTGTTCTGGAGAAGAGACAATATTAGAATATTGTGATGCGCTGGGTGGGGGGTGCAGTGTTCTGGAGAAGAGACAATATTAGAATATTGTGATGCGCTGGGTGGGGGGTGCAGTGTTCTGGAGAAGAGACAATATTAGAATATTGTGATGCGCTGGGTGGGGGGTGCAGTGTTCTGGAGAAGAGACAATATTAGAATATTGTGATGCGCTGGGTGGGGGGTGCAGTGTTCTGGAGAAGAGACAATATTAGAATATTGTGATGCGCTGGGTGGGGGGTGCAGTGTTCTGGAGAAGAGACAATATTAGAATATTGTGATGCGCTGGGTGGGGGGTGCAGTGTTCTGGAGAAGAGACAATATTAGAATATTGTGATGCGCTGGGTGGGGGGTGGGGGGTGCAGTGTTCTGGAGATGAGACTATTAGGATGTTGTGATGCGTGCGAGGGGAATGAGGGATAGATAGAGGGGTTGTGAGTGGGTGTTGGTTGTTTTGAAGGGATGAGGTGGACAGTGGGGTTGGGAATATTGTGTGGAGAAATGGGTGTTGTGAAGTCTTGAGTTGAAGAAATGATTTAATACTTTGACATTGTGAGAAGAAAAGAAAAACGACAATTTTACACATAGATATACCTTGGGAGTGTAAGAGTTGGTGAGCTTGCAGCGAGATCTGCATCACAACCGTCATACATTATTAGCATTTCATATTCCATCCAAAATGAAATAAAAACCAGTACAAGCTCTTCCACCCTGGGGACACGATCGACTATGAGAGGTTAAGGGGGATGATAGAATGTTGGATTGATGGGTTAAGTGGCTTTAACCTCTGCTCACCTCCTGTCAAGGTATATCAATTACATGCATGGATGCCATCTATACTCCCACATTTTATTTACCTGGAGGAAAATTGAAAAGAATGCCATGGCAACAGAGGATGAAGCTTTAGCTTTAGCTTTATTGCAGTGCCTTTATTTTATCAGTTTCAGTTTTAAGACATGACGCCAAATGTGGAACACGATATTCAGAAACTGGTGGGTTGATCGTCTGTGTTGAAGATTCAAACCTTGGGGGTACGTATAAGCATCCCTCACTGGTGAAAACATGTAGAAGATTTAGTGAGCATTTGTAGATGAAGAGCAGTTTGTAGACACAGATGGGGGTTCCAAAGAGCACCCTCTAGTGATTTTCAGCTTTATAGTTCCCGAATATTAATTTCCCTTTGCATGTTCCATTTGAGATCACTAAACCAAACTTATCAGAAATTATAACAGCTAAATAGATAACAATGAGAAATACAAACTTCATATAACCTTTAAGACTTACAGCATGTCACTCTGCGCTAATAGTATAGGGGTTATATAATCATGGAAACTAATAAACAAAGATATACTACCCCAACATAACAGGTGCACTAATATCAGCTCTCGGATCAAACTATTTCCAGTCTGAGAGGGTGCCAGTAAATCCAGAAGTATAATACAGCTATCTTTGATGTGATTAAAAAAAAATTTCATTTGATAAACAGAGAAAAATAAAACTGAGCCAGCACCTTGAATATTTTCAAAACCACTACAAAATAATTCCATATTTAAATGGTGGCCACCATTTGTTGGGCTCAATAAAAAACAAATATTACTGTCAATGTGGATCAGTTTGAAGAAATTGAATAAAAATACTAAATCTTTGACTAATATTCACTAATTTATATTCTCAAAACTCTTGTTACTATATTTCAGCAACGACATGGCATCAACGCCCACAATGAATCATGCTTTTAAATTGTTTTTTTGAACTGATTGAGTTTTCTTCTAGCTTCCACATGTGGTTGTCAACAACAAAAATGATGACTTTTCCCACTCGTACATATACATGTATAACCCTCCTCAACAAGGTGAAAACACAAAACACAGTCTCCAGTTGAAACCAGTTGAGTAGAGAAACCTCGCTGACCTTATATAATTGTTCTATCATTAAAAAGTAGGCAAAATAATGCAAGAGGTCGAGTATGTCGGTTTTATGAAAAGGTTAAGGATTACTTCAATGTGTGGCTTTAAATCCATCCTGCTTAGTTTCCATGGCTTAACTTGTTGCTGAGTTTCCACTATGCCATCTGTTCTGTCTGTTTTGCTTATTAAAGTGTGATAATAAAAGTTTTGATGCAATGGCTGGAAATGTCACAAACTTCTTCAATCATTGTAGCCCAGTAACCGAATCTACTGCTTATCTCACAGCAGCAGCCAGGAGGGAAAGGTTGTTGCCTAGCATTAAGGGAAGGATTACAATGACTTATCGCATCATTTTGCATCTATGCGAGTTGTCACGTTTCACATTAACAATCAAACACAAAGAGAGGCCAGATCCAGGGATCATCTGCAATTGCAGAGACGGAAAATAAAGCGTTTTTTGAAACACTGGTGGAGCTTCCAATTTAAAAAACAGAGGATAACTGACGGAATAGATCAATCAAATCTTAGAAATGGTCACCTGTCATGAATACAAAAACAGTTAACACATTTGTACTAAATTCAGATTGTTTTTTGACTGAGAACATGATTTTCAAGAATAGGTGATTGGCAAAAACAAAATCACAGGGAAGCCAGTGCAGTGTACGTGCACTGAGACATCAATGCAGTAAATGGCCGCTAAGACACGTCATTTTGAAGCGGGGAATGAAACAAACGATGCAGTAAATGGCCGCTAAGACACGCCATTTTGAAGCGGGGAATGAAACAAACGATGCAGTAAATGGCCGCTAAGACACGCCATTTTAAAGCGGGGAATGAAACAAACGATGCATGTATAAAGTACACAGCTAAGTAGGATTTAAATTGAGAATAGACACAGCTGTAACTACTACCGCAAACATGTAGAAATTTTAAATACATATTTCGCTGAGTGAAATGTTATATCACATAAATGACAAAAAGAAAATTAAAAACTTGTTTCCTTGGAAACAATAACTTTGATTTCCCCATAGTGTTAAATCCTACTTTGGCTTTAGGTTCATAATTAAAAATCGAGTTTGACCAATCACAAAGTTCCAGAAAATTCCTGTCCTAAATTCCTGCTATTTGAGATACTAATGAAACGGCTGAAAATTAGCTAATTATTATGCAAATTTGGTAATTAATATGAAGGATTTCAACCAAAAACTAATCCGATCTGTACATTATATCAAAGCATCTATAAAATCCTATGAGCTGCTAGCTAGACACTGGAGAATGCTAACTAATCCACAAACAGACGTTAAGATCTGTTATGGACAAACAAAAACAGCTCTATTCTTCATAAAGGATTATTACACACCTGCAGGTGGGGATATGGGAATCATTTAATTTAGTTGATATCAGTTATGATACGATACTCCTGTAATCCGAACAACCAGATCAAGTAAACATATTAGTACATAATTAGATTACATCAGACACTATTCCAACAGAATATAATTTCATTTCATTCATTTGTTGACAATAGAAATACATAGGAGGGAGGGGTGGGGTATATAATATGCAAATGAGATACATAGAAAAAAAAAGTAATCAGGGTTGGGTTGTAAAGACTAAACAAGCAGCCTCTCGGCTGAGATAGCTCCGCTGTTAGCAATGCACATTTCAATTAAAGAACAGAAGATATCATTAGAAAATTAACAATATGCATAGTATCAATGCAATGGGACTTGCTGTTTTCAACAAGAATTCAAAAATATCATTTTTCACCATAAATGATTGTGGTTTTTAACAAGAAGAAAATATCACTTTTTACCAAAAATGACAAAAATATTCATCAAAATTAGAGAATTGAAGATATCATCATGAAATAAACAAATTTGAGTGTGGTCCACATGTAGTACTTATATTATGTAATATCAAAGCAATTGGACTTGTGGTTTTTAATAAGAAGTCGAAAATATCACTTTTTACCAAAAATGACAAAAATATTCACCAAAATTAGAGAATTAAAGATATCATTACAAAATGAACAAATCTGAGAGAGGTCCACATGTAGTACCTATATATGTAATATCAAAGCAATTGGACTTGCAGTTTTTAACAAGAAGTTGAAAATATCACTTTTTACCAAAAATGACAAAAATATTCACCAAAATTAGAAAATTAAAGATATCATTATGAAATGAACAAATTTGAGAGTGGTCCACATGTAATAATTATACATGTAATATCAAAGCAATTGGACATGTCGTTTTTAACAAGAAGTCAAAAATATCACTTTTTACCAAAAATGACAAAAATATTCACCAAAATTAGAGAATTAAAGATATCATTATGAAATGAACAAATTTGAGAGTGGTCCACATGTAATACCTATATATGTAATATCAAAGCAATTGGACTTGTCGTTTTTAACAAGAAGTAAAAAATATCACTTTTTACCAAAAATGACAAAAATATTCACCAAAATTAGAGAATTGAAGATATGATCATGAAATGAACAAATCTGAGAAAGGTCTACCCAAGGTACATATACACCAAGTATCAAAGCATTCAGGCTTGTAGTTTTCAAGAAGAAGTCGAAAAAGTAAAACATTGACACGGACGCGGACGCCGGACGCCGGCGGACAATCACTCATATGATAAGCTCCGCTCGACAAAGTCAACAGCGGAGCTAAAAATTGCAATCTGTGGTACCAATGCGATAGACAGCCAGTAACCTACACATCTATACTTCTCTCCCTGAAATTAAAACTATAAATATACTATATTATTCATAAACATCTCTAGCACATCTGTCTCTCAAATAGAGGCTGAAACAGATATCTGCCTTGAGGGCATGAGAGTGGCACAAGTGATAGGGCATTAGTGAAGTCAATGTACACAAGGAGGAGAAGGTTGTGTAGGTGTGAATATGGCAGGGGAGGTCAAGAAATAGACATTTATCCTTACCTATCGTACATCATCCTGTCAATCAAAGAATAAAGTTCCTCGTTTGTGGCAGCGTGCGCCACAACGTCCAGGTTTGTATCCAGATAACCTTTACTAGCCTGCACCTTCAGTAGCGTTTTCTGCGCCTCGGCACAACCGTCAATAATGGGGGCATTCATGAGTGCAGGGGAAGAGGGCAGTTTAGCAGGTGCATGGTATGTGATGGGTGACGAGACTGCAGGTTTCGTCTGAAAAAAACACAAAAAAACCCTGAGAACATCATTTAATTTAATCTCATATCTGTTTTTTTTTTGGGGGGGGGGAATACAAACCGTACATGCATTCACTTAGAAGGTTATGCAGAAGGTCATCTATAAGTAAAGTAAAGTAAAATATATATATATACCTCCAGTATATATTATAGCTTTAGGTAGACACCATATAGGGTTCGCTTATGATTTTTAATAAATCTTTGGGTAATTCCCCAAAAAATTAGACTAGCAAGACAATGCATTATTTCCTTAAATATCCTGCAATCAATTTGAAGATTTAATTAAAAAAGGCAAGCATTTAACTAGTCACTGCCACAGGCTTGAACAGTTGAATACAACAGCGCCCTCAGACTCAGTGAAGGTACAATTCAAACTAGATTTTAATTTAATGGCAGAATCAAATTAAACGTTCATTGTATCATGATGTCAGCGAATATTGATAACAATCAAGAGACAATGCGTATTGCATGACTCGGTATGAAAACATAGCAGCGATCAAATAACAAATAATTTAAAATGAAAACCTGGAAATGGCTTTATTAATCGCCAAGTTCTATTTTCCCTTATTTCACCAATAGCTGATTAGGCTAAATAAAATAAAGTAAATATAGTTTCTTTAAGAAATCAGTAAAATTAAAATGAACATCAGTCATATCAAATTCACTAAAAGAAAAACCAAATTCTACAGAATTAAGTTTGTGAATGCCGAAATGTTGGTGCAACATTTTTAGGTATTTTATTATTCTTTTGATAATTTTGGATCAAATAGAGAACTTCCATAACTGGCTACAGATTTTTTGGAAAAATATGAAAAAAATTAAGTGCCACTCAGAAGGGTCAAAGGTCAAAGAACTAAAGACACAGTTGAGGGGCATAGCATAAAGCCATGATATATGGTATACGTATGAATAGATATATACAAATATCAAATCTGAATAGCAGATATGGCTCCGAAAGTTGACATGAATTCAATGGGTTCCGTATGTTTACGTACACAGGTTTTCAATGGGAGGAGGAGAGGTAATATATGTTCTTTTAAATGAATCACAGACATATCACTGGCCATATTTCAAACAGTAAATAGAAACAGATAGTCCTGTCAAATATATTCTTGTTTCATACAGTTTTCTTTTAACATTATTGTGTGCAGACTTTTATAGCAAGCCACCCATCATTCAAGACAGGCACTCACAGTTTAGACAGACACAAAATTTGATTTGACAGGCCAAATTTCAACAACCCCTGTCAACTTTTGACTGAAAATTCTCAGTTTTTAAAAAATATCTATAAGGTCATCAACTACTAAACAGACCTTTTTCATTTTCTGGTAATAAATAACCTTGATTATACAGGATTGGACTAATGAAATCAAGAATGTACCTGTATTTTGTATGGACAAACAAAAGATGACAGTATGTTTTGTCTCCACCATACAGTGCCCTCAGATGGTACATAGAGTAATAAAGTTATTAATAACAGTGACATATTGAAATTTAATACAATGATACTGAAAACCAAAGACCCAAAGTTGTTCTCTTCGTATACTGAGGTATACAAAACATGAACACAAGCACGTGGAACTTTGGGGGCTAATCTGCACTGGCTCGGAAGGTTGTAAATGATTAGCTAGTTTGAATTTGCATAACAATACTGACAATGAACGTGCATTCAACGCCACAAGTTTTTTTGTTTTTTTAGCCAATCAGAATTCATCTTCCGAGCCAGTGCAGATCAGCCGAACTTTGGAATGTGCCCACTCGTGCATTGCATCATGGGTAATGGGAACACAATAATCTTTGTCAACGAAATTCATGCTGTATTGTAGATAATAAAACACAAACAAAACTATTATGACTGGGTATTATCTTCACTGAATCTTCACAGCCATTTCCGGCAAAACAAGGTGCATATCTTATTCTAGATTATGAAATGTGATGACTCTGGGAAAAATGAACACTGGAAGAATGATGTATTTGAGACACAGAGAATTGCATATTTTGTTTCAATGCCTTGCCCTCGTAACCATCCATACAATGAATATAACAGACGTGTGACTGAAATAAAACCACCCAAGTACGGGGTCTGCAAATTGCCAACATCACTCGTAAATGTAACGAGAGAGCTGAGAATTCTGGTGCAATAAAATCTTCAAAGCCATGGTTACAACAAGACTTGAATGGATGTACTGTAAAATACTTTATTTTCACTTGGAATTAATTTTCGCTATTTTTGCTTAAGGAATGATTCAGTGAAAAAAAAATCAGGCGAATATACCTTTTTTTCCTATATTTTACATTCAACACGTCAAAAATTAGTGAAGATATATTCCATACAAAATACCCAAAAGGTCTTTTTTTTTGTAAAAATTGATTCCAGCTAAAATAAAGAATTTAACAGTGTATCACAGATTAAACTGCGATATACATCTACAGAGATTGCATACACAGAGTATGAAAGCTGCAGTGGAAAAAAGGAATACAAAAATTTGGCTTATGAGTACATTGTACTTACCAAATATTGGTCAATTGGTGCTGGTCCAGCCATGACTTCATGTCTTCTATCCACGTCACTTTTAACCTCCTGATATATCATAAAGAAGTTAAAAAAAAATCGATAACAAATTTTCAGTATTTCCCAGAGATTGCTGCTGCTGGCAGAGCAATTATTATTACTAAGTTAAGCCCACCCATCATATCCTTCCGTGCCCTGAACATGAACAGTTTCACAATATGATGTGACCTTTTTTTGTTTTGTTTCTATTTGAATGTGAGCCATTATAGATATGCAAGCCTCACCAATTCCACCCTATGTCAATTACCATGGAAGAGATGACTTCTTTACGCGATTTGCTTAAAAGAATCAACTTAATTATGCTTCATGAGAATACATGTGCTTCTGTGAATGGCTTGCAACAAAAACAGATGGCAGTTTTATAGAATTAAAGATTTTCTAATAGAACAAATGTGTCAAATTGAGCATAAAAATTATTATTGACAATTACAGAAATAGGATCATTTAAATAGGGGTTCTAATTACCCCCCCCCCCCCCCCAAAAAAAAAAAAAAAAAACCCACACACGCACAATAGCCCCCTCTCCTGAGATGAAAATAGCCTGCTTTAACATTAATTAATAAAAATACCTCATGAATTTTTGCGAGATGTAGTCTCTGTTCTGTATCAGTCTGCAGTTTGTGTGCTCCCTGATAAAAAAGATGAAATGCATAACATTATGAATGAGTAAAACAATATTCTAGATATTCAACAATATTTTAAAACATCATTTGCAGGAAACCTCCATGGACAGCTGAAATGAATGAGGGAAAAAATGGCGTCAGCAAACGATATGTTTATAGACTCTAACTTTTTTTCTTATAGCAGGGACAAGGAAAGTTTGTATATCCTCTTTCATTTTAATAATACCTGCATTACATGGGCACTTTTACACATTGTTAATATTTGACGTGAGTACAGACACAATAGCGTACACATTTAAGTGCCCATTTTTTCTGTCTGTGTCATGAAATAAACATATAATGGTTTTTGTCCTCCGGCTAGATTTGAAAGAAGTAAGATGCATCACATTCAGAAGAATCAATGTGGAGAACAAACAAAAAAATCTGGCATCATTGTGTTTGGTTGCCATGGTAATCATGTAGATGCTATGACAGAGCTGTTAGTTTCAGAAATCCATTTCACACATTAAGGGCGATCACACACTAGCAACAATATGTCCACGCACACAAAGTGTCCGAGTCTTTCATCACCATGAGTAATCAGTGCAAATTAATAACATATTAATTACCTCATTTAGATCATCATCATTTATCACATCTGTTACACACAGAAAACATAAATCGAGGGTGATTTTGATATCTGGACGAGATAATTGATTGATTGCTTTTAAATGTCTTTGTCCTTAAACACTGATAAATATCCCGGCAAACAATAGGTTTCCAATAAATAAATTTTTCAAATGTCCTTAATCAGGGTTAATAGCGCTAGAATTTTAGACTGATTAGCTACAGCTTGCATTCTGACAAGCAACATAAGAATACAAAAGTTTTAATGATTGAATTTATTGTTTTGATGAAATATGTGCATCTATATATTACATTTTCTTGTTTTGTAATATTCCAGATGACAAATTCTGCTTCCATCTAATTCAAACAATTTATGATTTCAACCCCTTGTTGCCAAGGTAAAATGTGGCTGACTGTCTCTGCATGACTTTAGCCGCATAATCATTTTAACAGCCTTCTACGAACATCGCACGCCTAATAACGCACACAAACTCACTGTCTGTTAGCAACAAAATGAACGAATCTAAAGGCAACTTGAAATTGAAAACCCCAGAGAAAATGCAGACGACATATGGCTACAAGTATCAAGTGGTTTCCCCTACAAAATGACAGTAATTACCAACCGAGAGAAAAGTGCCATTACATTTTGTCGTAGAAAAATGGCCAATCAGAGGTAACAACCGGCAGGAAGATTGACCCAAATTACGGGTGATCAGAGCGAAATGTCAATTACAGTGGTAATTTCAATGCACGGTGGGCTGACTGGAGTTGAATACTCAAGAAATAGAGCCAAGCGACTGAAAAATTTTACATTTTTACATTGAACTTAGAAGCTGCATGAACCAAGGACGTAATGTTGAAAAAATATATTTAAGTGAGTTGAGGAGTCACATTATTAATTGTTATGCTAAACCACATACTAAGGTTTAAATGAAAATTACAAGTGTATGTCAAATAGAATTTTCTCAGATATACCGGAGTAATTTCATCAATACAGGTAGCCAAAATATATTAAACCATAGATTATTTTTGTCATGTGAAATCTAATATTATATGATCGATGAGTTTGTAATTGTCATGGTAATTGTCAAGTAGAAAATGGACATAGATTTTGAAAAAAAACAACTAGGGTCAGCTGACAGTCATGAGGTATACAGGAGTAATAATATAATTATTATGGAATACTGGAATAGACGCTACACTACACCTACTATGGACATTATACAGCAATGGGTTCATCCAAAAGTAAAATAATATCACTGTGCATAAACTGAAAAGATAACAATCTTTTTTTTTTTTTTTTTTGCAATATTTATTTCCCTCATAAATATCAACAGGTTCCGTGATTGGTCAATGCATGGTCATGTGATCAATATATCGTCCCCACCAAATTCCCAAGAGTGCACATTATTACCCTGGTTAATTGCATAGAGCCATATGAACCATCTCAACTCCACGGGGAGCATACAACTCTGGATGCTATGTAAGCAAGAAAGAGAGAGGCAGTAAAGCTACATAATTTGCCAACAAGGATACAGAATGATGGCAGACATCAGTCCGCCAGTAACAACTGAATTATGGTCAAACATTCATGAGCATGTGACACTGCAAATGTCACTGGCGTAAATTTTTAACAACAAACTATTTCATGCTTTGGCCAATAACAGCCATGTATTAACAGTAATTCAACACACCTCCATCGACTGAGGCAAACGGGTGTGGTAATCATCTATCGATTGAACACACGGCAATTGTTATTAGTCCTGTTTCTAAAAAAAAAATAATTGAGAAAGATTCTAAAAGCCATAAACGAATATTTGGCTCATAGATGCACTGATAGACTACATGAATTAAACCAACTGACTAATGACAGCCAGACAATACATAGGATTGAGTGTCACATGATCAATAACTGATTTCCAATGAATGATCATGTTAGCAGGCGATTGTGTTTCACACAAAAAAACATTATAATTATTACACCAAACAGTTTAATATTTACTAAAGACAACTGAATGATTTTTTCTTTTTTGCTTTACTGTAAAAAACTAAATACTCGGATATATAAAGCACTGTCGATTGTTAACAAATTGGCAGATATCCAAAGGTCATAAACTAAAGATTGTCTTCATTCGAGAAATTGTCCGATCGTCACCGTATCTTTTTACAGGTTCCTTATTCTATTTATGTCATCAGTGAAATTTAAAACTATCGAGGATGTATTTTCAAATGTCCATATATGGGCTTCATCTCTCACCTTAAGTACAGTTCGCATCTCTTTTTTTAACTGGCCTAAATCTTGTACAAGCTTATTGGCTTGCCTTTCACACTGTTGGCGTCTCCAACCAATGCTGACGAAGCCGCAGCTTCGGGTGACCTGCAAAGAAATATACATATTTAATAAATTTAATAAAAATAAACTGAAAAATTATATTTTTATAATTAGTACTTGATGTGATAAACTGAGATCATGGGAGGTAATTGGGGGAGGGGGGGGGGGTAATTGGTAAGGCTTGGATTACAATACACCTAGTGTATAGATATCAGCACCAAGACAGGATGAAGAGTGAAGTTATTATAAAATCAGACAACAGAGTAGGTGTATATCATTTGTAATTACTAATAAGTGTGAAAAATATAATAAGTACTTTCGTCTTCAAGAAATATTATGTTTGGTTGCACTTCTGTAATAAACTAAACATTATCATCGAATAAAGTCAAACAAACCCAGGAGGAAGAATTGTATCAATCAATTTGCATTTATTTTAGTATTAAAAAATTCAGCTGTTTTTTTTTTTATCATAGTAGACAGAAATCCCAGTTCAAATAATTTATTGAGAGCTAATCAACTACTATGCATTTTCATGACATTTTTGTTACTTCTGACATCACACTCAGTGATCCCCGGTTCCCTGATGCATCTGTAATGTGTGCGTCAACCATAAATTTGATCTTTTTAGCAATTTATTAAAAGCAGCCAACGGCAGATAGACTTACAAACACATTAATCTAATGACGATTCAATTTAGTTTGCAGTCAAATTTGAGATGGGGAAGGATCCGGAAGGCATGCCTGTATTTGTAACTTGACCTTGCCTTTGGCTGCACAGAGCAGTTGAAGGATAAAAAAAAATTAATTGCAGCTATTAAAAAAAAAATGCTACCCATAATGCACCGTCGCCTAGTTACAAACTGATGTGAGAAATAGAGAAGGTATGCTGTATCCTCTGTAAGGAAAGAACAGATTTTGTTGGCATTTGGTTACATTAAGACTGAATGAACTCATGTTGTTCGCACAAAGTATCCAATAAATTTATGAAAAGTACTATGAGTAATTGCAGATGAAATCAATACTGGTAAAGAGAACGATTCACTCAATGTAAGCCCCATATTTACTCCCATATTTATTAATCTACTACCATATTAGTAGTGCCAATGCTTCATATAAATGCCAGAGGTGTATCTATCCTCAAAATAAGTCATACATGGTATTTTAATAAAACCACACAATAAATGCAACTGTAGTTATCCCATGTGTTTTTAGTGGGGATATAAATCAATAATTATGTAATATTGATACTTTTGAAACAAAAAAAACAAAAATTTAAATGCCGACCAATTCATGATTGTCTTGGTGTGAAGATTGAACAACATTGGTCATGCAAATAATGCAAGTTTAAGAACTGATTCCAAACTACCCTATAGGAGAAAACCAATTCAAATAACTTAAACTTTAACAAGACCTGAGCAAAATAGCGAAGCAGCCTGACCCACATAGGATCAACAGCTAAGTGATGGAAATGAAAACGTTGCCAGGAAACACAAAATGTGGTGAAGAGAACTCAGTATAGAGATGGGCTGACTGCTCAAATACAGGCATTAGCAACTCCTTTGACGTGTACAATTTTCAAGTATTTGAACAGTGCAAACAGCTGGTATGAAAAACAACAACAATGAGAAATGAACCTATAGCAATGTCACTGAAAAAAGAGATTTAATCCCAAGCAATGTCAATATCAGCTAGCTGTCGCCATGAAATTTGATTAATTTATTGTTAAACACAGAATTGCTGACATGACATAGAATACGGAAGCTACCAAGATAAGAAAACACTTCAGATTAGTACTACTGAATGTTTGTTACACGACTATTTCAGCAAATATACCAATATTGAATCATGCAATCATTAAAATGTAAATTAGATTGTATTTTTAATCAAAATGAGTTTTTAAAAATTCATTTTGTAAGAAAAATTACACATACTGTACTATTTATTATAATTTACTGCTCGATTTAGCCTCAGAGGCCAAACAGCCACTAGAGGGCACTGCTCCTGGTCGTATAAAGCACCACCCACTATCACTATTTGATCTTTGACCTCTTCGTGTATCTGCATATGCCCCCCCCCACATACAAAAATGTACCTATATCTTATTTGTATACACACATCTCCACAATTTTTACTGCAATTCTGAGTTATTTATTTTGCATACAATTTAGTATGAATGTACATATCCGCCCCTCAAAATACACCATTCTTAGATCCCCCAGTTGTTAGAATTTGTCAGTTAAGACATAAATCATTGCATTATGGGTAACAAATCATTGCATTATGGGTAACAAATCATTGCATTGTGGGTAACAAATCCCCATAGCAGCACACAAGATTGATGAATGTTTACAAAAAATATAAAAAGTATAAAATGATATGATAGCCAAAAAAAAATACACTGGTTGAAACTGTATTTGGGGTCATTATACCATGAAGCAGTAATTTGAATATGATGTACTTCATCAGGGGCAATTTAAATGTCACCCTTTGCCCTCAGTATTAAATACATTTTAAAATATTAACCATATTCAGCTGTTTTTCATATTGTATCAATCATCTTACTGAGCTCTATCACATTTCATCGGCAAACAGTCTCTGCTGCCTAGCAGTTTTTTTTCACACGCTAAAGACAGAGATATAAAACAGTCACGTATCGTCTCCGCACGACTTGCTGTCGTCAGTAATTCTTCTATCTCAAGAGAAATCTGCTTCGGTTTCCATCCAACGTAGGCAGTAATCAATATTGTCGCTTTTTAAGATGAAATAACGACGTCGCAACACAGTGTGATCAGAATATTGCAACTACAGATTTCTTGCGTTTTATTTTTTAAGCTATAAATTGGATACCTCGCTTCAGATATCTTAAAATTTTTTTGGGCTGAACACAAACAAATATACGGACAAGAAATAAATTCTAAAAACTCAGAGAAAATCAAAATACTGCATTTTCACGTGTGCAGGTACATTCGATTATACGTAGTTGATACTAAGTGGGAGTGTGGAATGATTAATTACTATTTTACATAGGTACCATGCAGAGATGAAGGTTGTAGTGGGGGATAAGCGAGGACATGAGGGCAAGACCCGAACTTTGATTCTTATTATGATTTTATCTTGATTCCGACCTCCTTTTGTTTAAACTTTGTATTGCTTGTACGTGTAATTGATTAAATATAGGTAAGCAGTCAATAAATAAAAGAATGCCGGTCATGTCTGTCTGCTAGCAGCAATTTGAAGCAAAAAGCATCTATGGATATAGTGAATGTCTGTAACTACAAAAAAAAGTCTTCAAAAATAAATATTTTGAAATTTACCATCCCACTTTAGACTACTCATTTTTTGTACGGAAACTATGGCTAGGGGGTTGTGAGACTGTCAACAATTCAGATTTATCTTCTTACGACTATAAAGCACATATTAACATTGGTTTTTCGTAAAAACAAAAAAAAAAGCATGAAGACCATGAATAACAATTTTTCTACTTAATTTTATATACCAGTATGAAACAACGTAATTGCTGAATGTTAGTCAATCTATTTTAAAACTAGAACACAGTACACACTATTAGTTATATTCTGCATCAACATTTGCTCGTAATTCAACGAATTTCACACTTGCAGGTGCTGTAGTATTTCAATGCATTTCTACGTACGGAATAACAACTATTGCATATATACATGAACACTGTCCACGTCTTTATTCAGGCAGAAAGAGCTCTAATGAACAAAACAAAATTAGTCGTGCGAGTAAAATGGAACAGCTAGTTAAAACCAACATCTATTTGTTAAATTAGCACAAGGTCGTTATGACCCAGTGCGATGTGCCACCTAGGGCATAAAGCGTGCAACCAACATTTACATGCAGGTGATAGAATAGAACTCCAAGACAATTTCGTGTTTTCGCACTTTTAAGTCATCAAAAATTCATTTCTTGTTACATTTTCCATCCTGCATTTTACATTTTTTTATTATGCAATACACCGGTGAACAGGGCAAAGTGAAGTTCATGAAAAACAGTGGAGTGGAAAAATGATTGAAGAAATAAACATCAATAATTCTGGATCAGTGGCCCAAAACATGATGCACGACAAGCACGAGCAAGCAAGCAAGCAAGCAAGCAAGCAAGCACACCAGCCTTTCCAGCCTCAAAACAAACCTGCCTGTCCAAAACTGACATATTGTGTCTTTGAACAAAAATAAACGTAAACCGTGGATATATTCAAAGAATGAAAAAAAAAAAGAAGAAAGAAATGGAAAAGCTTCCAAAAAACCAAACATGATTGAGCATAAATTTAATACACAACATAATTAATTCATACTCAGTTTCATCTCACCTAAGGTGATTTATTTGCATCTTTAAAAATTCAGAGGCAGTTATAGGATTTCATAATGTTTGGTTGGGTCTATCAAATTACGTTCAGCAGACTATTAAATTGCAAGCGGCTACCAATCTCTGTGACCTAAGGCATAATGACACTTTTGTCCAGCACATACGTACTGAAAAATATGTGACCACTAGAGGGTTGCTGTAACCACCCCCAAACAAACCATGTTTTATCTAAAGTTACGTATTTCAGGAATTCATTTTGTTTTTTATAAAATTACTGTAAAATCTGTATCAAAAACCGCAGCTTTTATTGAAATGATACAATTTATTATATTAGGGTATCTACACATATGAGAAATGATGAATTTTTGGTTCTCAATTCTTCAAAAAGAGGGATGCGGCTTCTAAGAAAATAAAAAGGACATCTGTGTAGGTTACGTCAATTATAATCAAGCCTGCCCTCATATTTTTTTTCCTTTTTCTTAAAGCGTCTTGGTAAATATTTTATTCTAAAGTGGGTGTTACATGTGTGACATTTTTATTATGACTGTTATCAATAACCAATCGGTTTGTGGTTTAAGCGCTAATAAAACAGAAGTTACTAGTGTGGAATGTTCATTGTTCATTAATGATGTTGTCAACAAGGATTGAGAAGTCTGTGGAGGAAGCGAATAACAAACACAGACGAGTATGAATCATGGCTGTTAAGATACTTTCTGA